CAAGGAGGGACGACTGAAGGAGTTTGTGGCGAGAAAGCAGGAGGGGAGCTCGTCAGATAGGCAACCCAGACGCACGCAAGATGACACTAGGAGGGATAGGCGTAGAGAGAGGACTCCTCCCAGAGACGCGCCAGCAAAGGTGTCGGAAGCCCATCAGCAACCCATCCATGGGGATTTCAACACCATCGCAGGAGGCTTCGCAGGTGGGGGAACTACCTCGGCAGCCTGCAAAAGGTACACTCGGTCAGTGTTGACGGTGTCGGAGTTCAGGCGACCATCTCAACCTGAGATCTCGTTCTCAGACGCGGATTACGAAGGAGTAGCCCCTCATGAGGATGACCCCGTCGTCGTATCGGCGATTGTCATGGGGTACAATGTGAAGCGCGTGTTGATTGACCAGGGAAGTTCCGCAGACATTTTATTCTGGGAAACCTTTGAGGGGATGAAAATACCTAACGACCGACTAATTCCTTATGCAGGGACTCTAGTTGGTTTTGCAGGAGACCAGGTCATCGCAAGGGGATACGCCAATCTGGAAACGACCTTCGGCCAGGGAGCTCAGATGAAGACGGTGCTCGTTCAGTATTTGGTGGTCGATGCTCAGTCATCGTATAGTATACTGATCGGCAGGCCGACTCTGAACAAGCTGGGAGCAATAGTGTCTACTCCCCATCTGAAGGTAAAGTACCCGTTGCCGAGTGGCGCTGTGGGGGTTCTCAAGGTGGACCAGGAGGTTGCCCGGAAATGCTACGGGGATAGTTTAAAGGCGCGAAGGCGACTGTACACTAAGCGGGTAGAGAGGGAAGTCCACTCTGTCGAACTGGATCCTAGAATGGGTCAGTTCGACCACCGACCCGCCCCAGCAGAAGACGTCAAAGAAGTGGAGGTAATGGAAGGGAGAAATGTGAAGATAGGTACCTCTTTGACTCCCGAAGACGAAGAGAAATTGGTGACGATCCTAAAGGACAATGTGTCGGCATTCGCATGGCACTCCAGCGACATGCCTGGAATTGATCCAAATTTCTTGTGCCACAAGCTAGCCATAGACCCTAGCGCGAAGGCAGTGATCCAGAAGAGAAGGAAGTTTGGTGAGGAAAAACGAAGGGCTATCGCGGAAGAGACGCGGAAGTTAGTGATGGCAGGACACGTCCGAGAAATCCAATATCCGACCTGGTTGGCAAACGTAGTCATGGTGCGCAAGAGCAGCGGGAAGTGGAGAATGTGTACGGACTTCACCGGCCTTAACAAGGCCTGCCCAAAAGACTCGTACCCGCTGCCGAACATAGACTGCCTGGTGGATGGAGCATCGGGATACGAGTTGCTAAGCTTCATGGATGCCTACTTGGGGTACAACCAAATCCGAATGCATCCCGCTGATGAGGACAAGATGGGGTACAACCAAATCCGAATGCATCCCGCTGATGAGGACAAGACCGCTTTTATAGCCGATCAAGCCAAT